ATTGTCGGTAGCGGCGGCACAGCCTTCAGCACACGCTTCACGATGCACCCAGCGAAGGGCTATTTCAACGTCTCGGTTGATGCGTTTTTTTTGCGACTCAGTCCGCTCCCAATGCTCCACAAAATCAGCTGATGCGCTGTCACACTGCACCGCCTCGACTCGAGCCTCTTCGTCTGCGCTCTCTCTTTCATACAGATTTTTAAATTGAGACAACAGTGCGTTCGGCTCCGATGTCAGGGATGCAAGTTTCCGAACAAGCCAAAGCCGCATCGCTGCCCGCTTTGCCCTCCACGACACTGCACGAAGGCGATGGACACGCGCCTTGGCTGCATTTTGTCGACGTCTTGAACATGCACGCGCTGTCGTCCGTAGCGAGGCATCAGTTGACAGAGCAGAATGCAACAAACCAGATCGAAAGGACGCCGGCTTAGTACGCGGCCGTTGCCACCACGGTGGAAGCTCCCTGTTGCTTAATCTCAGCTGTTTGATTTCCTCGGAGCGCTGTTGTACTTTGAACTGACGTTCAGTGCGGTCCTTTCTTCCCTGCGCTTTAAATTGTGGAACCTATTCAAAAGGGTAATCAAGCTACTGATGATGACCAGACTACTACAAATCAAGACACTGAAAATCGCAGTCATGTGTTCGATATTATCATAGCCGAGGACAAGAGGCCGCTTCATCACGGCATCATACGCAACTCTTGCCTTGCATGCATTCAGTTCCCGCAACATGAGCTTGGAATCAAGCGTCCTGGGAACTACATCAAAATTTGATCTTTCAGATTCCGATGATTCTACTTCCAATGCTTCGGTGTCTGCATTCACTAGCACGCCCTTACCAGACCATTCGCGGTTCACGATAGATTCTTGAGTGCCATACCCAAAAAAGACTGGAGTCACGAAAAACACCCAGTATTGGGCCCAGGTCCGCCTTCTCAGCTCCAGGGTATCCGCTGCAGCGCCATCAACGCAGCAACAACAAATAGACCCCAATCGCCGCAGGTGTGAGCTAGGGTTTTGTGCGGCTGCAGCAACGGTAGATGCTGACTTGTATGCATTAGCAAAGCTAGAACCAACGATGCTGATCTTTGCGACGATGAGGTTTGAGCGATCCGCTCTCCAGCCGAGCGCTTTTCGTGTCTTTAGAAGCTGACCTTCGATCAGCTTGCCGGCATGACTAGCTGCACGAACCGCAAGGGCACGTCGCATGCGCATTGCGAGGGTTTCCGACAGCTTCGGATCAGGCAACGGTGCTCCTACTACGCAGGTACTAACCTTGGAATTGACCGCCTCAGCCCTGATAGTAACAAATTCATCCAGTGCTACACGAGAGCTCTCGACTTGCGCAGCCCTACACACATCACGAAGTAAGAGGCTCTCAAAACGACGACGGGCTCGAGTGTCTAAGCGCTTCAAAATTTTGTCTTTATTACTTTTTCTAGTTTCTAAATGCAGGCTGCCTCCAGCGAATGCATTGATTGACTCTGTCCAGGGTGGTTGAGATGTCTGAATCGTGGTGAACGTAGGTGGCAACAAAAGAGAAAGTTCAAGATTCAGAGTTGCTGTAAAGAATGCGACGCTTCGTTCCGAATTCGCACTGCGTTCGTCTCGGTAGGGTGACCAATGCATCCTGGATGTATTTGGTGTAGCAGGCACATGGAACGAATGAAATACCCCGTGATTACGAAGTGAACTATTCAAAAGGCTTCGGAACGAGGACGGATTTCTCGATGGGGACTTTGGGGGTGTATCTGTGTGGTTGCAGTCCGACTCAAGGCTCGAGGGCTCGCGGCTGAGTGCATTGCCACAGGTCGTGAGGA